TGCACGATATTTCTGATAGAAAGAAAGAAAGATGGAAGATTCATTTCTATGCTCATTTTTTGCTGTTATTTCTACTGCTACTGATCTGTTCCTTTCAACCAGCTTCTAGTCAGGCATGGGATGGTATAATTATCACACAAGCAGACTACGAAGCATTGCAAGCATTCAAACATGAATTGGTTGATCCTAAAGGGTTCCTGAGAAGCTGGAACGACAGTGGTATTGGAGCTTGTTCCGGTGGTTGGGCCGGGATTAAATGTGCTCGGGGACTAGTAATTGTAATCCAGCTTCCCTGGAAAGGTCTAGGTGGTCGAGTAACTGAAAAAATTGGGCAGCTTCAAGCTCTCAGAAAGCTTAGCCTCCACGATAATGCAATTGGTGGTGCAATTCCTTCCTCGTTGGGCCTTCTGCCTAACCTCAGAGGTGTTCAATTATTCAATAATCGGTTTTCTGGTTCAATCCCACCTACACTTGGTTTGAGTCCCCTTCTTCAATCACTAGATTTCAGTAACAACTCCCTCTCTGGAACTATTCCAGCTACTCTTGCCAATTCAACCAGGCTCTTTAGGCTTAATTTTAGCTACAACTCTCTGTCTGGTTCAATTCCCGCCAGCCTTACTCAATCGCAATCGCTGATTTTTCTTGCTCTAGAGCACAACAATCTCTCTGGTTCCATTCCCGACTCTTGGGGTGGAAATGTGAAGGCCCTCTATCAACTTCAGTCCCTGACACTTGGTCACAATTCATTTTCTGGGACAATTCCAGCTTCTCTTGGCAACTTAAGTGAGCTCCAAGAGATTTCACTCAGTCATAACCACATGGCTGGATTGATACCCAATGAAATTGGAAGACTATCTAGGCTTAGAACACTTGATTTCTCATATAATGCACTCAATGGCAGCTTACCTGCCGCTCTTTCCAATTTATCAAACCTTGTAGTTTTGAACTTGGAAAGCAACCATCTTGACCACCAAATTCCTGCAGCTGTAAACAAACTACAGAAACTATCTGTTCTCAACTTGAGAAATAACCAATTTGCTGGTCCTATTCCAGCAACAGTTGGGAACATTTCTTTCCTGACACAAGTTGATTTATCTCAAAACAAGTTTAGCGGAGAGATTCCAGCATCTATAGGTGATTTACCTAATCTTAGTTCCTTTAATGTGTCTTACAACAATCTGTCCGGTCCTGTTCCAACTAAGCTTGCTCAAAAGTTCAATGCAAGCGCCTTCGTGGGCAATCTTGAGCTATGCGGATACAGTGCATTAACCCAATGTCCAATACCACCCTCTCCGGGCCCATCAACTCCACCAGAAACTCCAGCAAAGAAACATCATAGACTGAGCACCAAAGACATTATTCTCATCGCAGCTGGGGCTCTCCTCATCGTTCTGCTTGTCCTTTGCTGCATTTTGATATGCTTGCTGATCGGGAGGAAAGCTGCTACGAAATCCAAGGATGGTCAGGTTGCAGGAAGGGCGGCTGCTGCTGGTACCAGGGCCGGAGAAAAAGGCGCTCCTCCAACTGCAGGTGAAGTTGAAGCAGCTGGAGAAGCAGGAGGAAAGCTTGTCCACTTTGATGGACCCATGGTTTTTACAGCAGACGATCTGTTGTGTGCCACAGCAGAGATCATGGGTAAGAGCACCTATGGAACAGTATATAAGGCAACACTGGAGGATGGCAGTGTTGCTGCAGTGAAGAGATTGAGAGAGAAGATTACTAAAGGACAAAGGGAATTTGAAACTGAGGTTAATATACTGGGGAAGATCAGGCATCCAAACCTTTTAGCGATGAGGGCTTATTATTTAGGTCCGAAAGGTGAAAAGCTTCTCGTATTCGATTACATGCCTAAAGGAAGTCTGGCAACCTTCCTTCATGGTGAGTTCAAATTAGCCCCTATTCTTGCATAGGATTTGACCATTTCGCTGTGCACAAGTAATTTGAACTTTCTTCTTCTCTTGCAGCTCGAGGACCCGATACGCCTATTGATTGGCTAGCAAGAATGAGAATAGCAAAAGGCATGACGAGGGGATTGCTCTATCTTCACACCCAGGCGAACATTATTCATGGGAATCTTACATCAAGCAATGTTTTGCTTGATGAAAACGCAAATGCAAAAATTTCAGATTATGGACTTTCACGTCTGATGACACCGGCTGCAAATGCAAATGTGATTGCAACTGCAGGAGCGCTAGGCTATCGAGCTCCTGAACTTTCGAAGCTCAAGAAAGCAAACGCAAAGACGGATGTTTACAGCCTTGGCGTAATCATGTTGGAACTTCTGACTGGAAAATCTCCAGGAGAGGCGATGAATGGTGTTGATTTGCCTCAGTGGGTCGCTTCAATTGTGAAAGAGGAGTGGACCAATGAAGTTTTTGATTTGGAACTGATGAACGATGCTTCCACAATTGGTGATGAGCTACTGAATACATTGAAACTGGCTTTGCACTGTGTTGATCCCTCGCCATCAGCTCGACCTGAAGTTCAGCAAGTTCTGCAGCAGCTGGAAGAGATCAGACCGGAGACTGCCGCTGCTAGTCCCGGGGATGATGCTGGTGCAGCCCCCTCCTCAGCAAATGATTAAATATCATCCAGGATTTTGGTTAAGTTTTTTTTTTTTTTTTGGGTTCACTATTCTTTCATTCTTGGATCTATAATTTGGTGTGGGATTGGGTAGTTTGTCTAATGGCTATTTCTGTAAATAGGGAAATGGGCTACTTTCTTTGATGCGGATTCAGCGTGTGTACGCTTTGGAATGCTTCTTAATTCCAATTCCCCAAATTTTTGGGATAATTTTGGAAACCTCCCCTAAGGTTTCCAACACTTTCACTGAGCTTCCCTTAGGTTTCAAAAATTTCATTAATTTCCTTTGAACTTAAGGTTTCAAAAACAAAATCAGTCCAAATAAAAAAGGGTACTACTAAAAAAATATTTTGAAGTGTAAGTTGGTAATTTTGTTCCATATATGCCATTTTTGGATTATCCACTAGCTGTACTAGCAGCCCGTAAAAGTGATAGGGAACAACTGAAATTCGAAAAAAGATGAATAGCAGCAACAATTCGAAGTAACAAAAGTCCTTGCAATGATTAGTACAAACTGCAGTGGCCATATTTTCTATTTTTTACAACAGTATATAAAGGGACACAATAAGCTCTATAGAGCTATCAAATTATTAATATAAACATCTAAATTTGGGGTAAAAAATTGATCATAAATTGGTGAAAGTAATGTATTGGTCATAAAGCATACCGGTTTTAGTCAACAAATTAGTAATAAAGGTATGAATTAGTTTTATCTTGATGTAAGGCTCAGCAAAACAAACTGGTTATTTCTCAAAAGCATATTACTTATCTCTTAAACTAAATAAGTTTACAAAAATTGCATAGATCATGAAAACACATAACAAAATGAACATCACATGTACTCTTGAACCAAGATTTAATAGGACACATAATATATTGTTCACCTTCAATATCTAACTATCAAATCTCTATATTATTCAACAAATATTATTGTTTTACCAAATTGTATAAAGTTATCTAGCCTTGTTATTGTCAATTGATGTCAACCACAAAAATGGTGCTATGTTACAATAGCAATTGGTGCCATTTTTTATCGCAATTTTGGTTGCTAATTTGAGATGAAGCAATAGTTATTCTAGTTTAATTAGTTAACCTCATTTATTTAATGCCCTGACCTTATTTTTGGTCAAATATCCATTTGTTATAAAACGTAGTAATGTCTCAAGGTAGAGTAGTACTTTTATCATATCTTGTGTAAGTAATAGGGCTCATATTTCTAATAAGAAAGATCAACGAAAGTCTCAGAAACCTTAGGGTAGGTTCCTAAAATTATCCCTAAATTTTGGAATTGAAGATTATGAAAATATCTCATTCTTTTGCTTTCCTAAAAGGGATAATTTCAAAAACCTCAGGACTTCAAAATTACACCAGTCTTCCTCCAGATTATAAAAATTACACTGACCTCCATCAAGATTAATTATCTTATAACATTTAGACTTAATCAATAATTAAAAAGTAATATTATAAGAGAAAAGATAATATGATTACATCACTATCCCTCATTTACTAAATTATTTAATTAATTTGATACTAACCCACACATTAAAGTAAAATACTAAAATTTGCTGTTTATAATAAGGGATTAAATCACATATAGTATCAAAAAATAATATATCATTTTCTATTTTTCACTTAATATAAGATCCAAATTAATTTTTTCAGTTATATACCTATTATCAAACATGATCAACAACAAATAATAAAAAAGTTTGCAATCAAAATATTATAGAGAACAAATTTTAACATCATCAATATTCTTGTCAACATATTAAAGTTAGTTGCTGAGTTTTTTATGATATTAAAATTCGCACTTTATAATATTTTGGTTACATATTTTTTAAATTATTTATTATTGATCTTGTTTGACAATAAATTTATAACTAAAAAAAGATATTTAGATATTATATTAAATGAAATATATAGAATAATATAATATTTTTCTACCATATGTTAATCTCTAATGATAAATAGTAAATTGTAATTTTTTTAATGTTTGTACTGATATTAAATTAATTAAATAATTTAATTAGTAAGAGACAATGATAAAATTGTATTATCTTCTCTTTTTTAATATCACTTTTTAATTGTTAATTAAATTTAGACGTTACGAGATAATAAATCTCAAAAAAAATTAATATAATTTAAAAAATATAGAGAAACCAGTGACATAGTCAGAAGTCTCAGGAGAAGTTTTGAAATTATTTCCATCCTAAACTAAACAGGGCTACGACCATTGTGCATGGGAACTGATGCGTGCCGGCCTTGCCCTTTTCAGTCTTTCAATTCCCAACCTTTTTCTTGGCTTTTCTTTTTTCTGAATTGGTCCTGTTGGGCTTTTCTGCGCCCCCGTACGCGGTAACCGCAACCGTACCATCGCACCTATGAAGCACTAAAAATTCAATCACGCACCAAAGAAGTAGAAAACAAATATCTTAGGAGAACCACTACAGAGTGTACACAACCTTCCTCTCAAACACAAAGTAGCACCAGCCAAAAACAAAATTTGTTTCGTCACTTCTTGTGACAACCAGTTTGGTGTACAAGACAGCAAAACTGAATCTCTTAAGCACACTTCCACCGATTTTACATGTAACAATCAAAAGCTGATACAAGTATATAGCTTCCACCATGCGATGAATAAGTGACTCCATTAACTAGTGTACATGACTGAAGTACAAAGGAAGTTGGAAAAGGAAATATTTACAGCCAGCTCTTCAGCTAGTGCATTTCACATATCCGCTTGTTTCTTCTGCAACCGTCTCCCATACACTGGCCATTTTCTCAGCATATCCTGCCTGCTAAAATTAAACGTGTTACTTGTCCAGAAATTAGGAACGGTAATCAGAAAATGGCAGCCAGACAAGTAAAGATCCTCGAAACATCACAATAGAGGTACGTTAAATCCACAAGTAGTTTTATTTGGTATCTCCAGATATAGATGAAACTGGAGGAGGAAAACGGTGCCACTAGATGAGAAAGTAAGAAACTGAAGGAACAAAATTAGCACAGATATCCACTTGCCAAAACTTATCAGATGTATTTTTTATCAATTTGAATTTAAGAAGAAAAGATTGAAACACCGATACAGGCCAAGTTCAGCTATTGAGACCAAACTAATCTTCCAAGGTCATATAGACAATCTTCCTCTCTCCACCAAAACAAACGACAGGGAAGAATTGACACAAGCAGAGAAAAACAATACTTACCTGATTAACAATAAATCCTTTCAACATGCTCAAGAAGTCTTCACGCCTCTCCCTGTCTAATCTGTCTAGCTCATTTCTATTGTTCTCCTGCATAGATCACACCATATACCACACTTGATTCCATACTATTAACCAGCACGTTTAACTGTAAGAAATAAGCTTCTATATTTTGCATCCAAGTTTCATAAAGTCCTCCAAATCCTCCCCCTTCGCCATTTCAAAGTCTTCTCAGATATTAAGAACCATTAACATGTTGTTTAAGCAAAGAATTGTAGACAATTTATTTTACAAGTTTGCCAGGCTAGTTGGATATTTGAAGTGTCTAGTCGTATCAAAAGACACCAGGTTATGTGAGCTACTTAAGAAGTTGGACAGCAGAGAAAGACCTATCAGGACAAACAAGTGAATAAACAAAAGCATATGCTAAAGACAGATTTACATGTTCTTCAAGCAGCTGTTCATTAAAATGAAATAATCCTACCTTTATTCGTTTATATTCTGCAATAGCACAAGTTTTGGCATCCTCCGTAGCCCTTACAGTTTCCCTTAACTCTTCTATTTTCCGGATTCTAGCCCTGTCTCCACCAAATATCTTAGATGAAGCAACTTCAAGCTTTTCAATTCTTGAATTTAATGATGACAACTCAGATAAAAGGGTCTGAACAGTCAATAGAGCATTTGATCGGTCTGAAAATGCATTGTTGACAGCTAACATCACTCCGAGGTATTCATGCAGCTTATCCTGGTAAGTGCATGAGCCATGTGAAAATATGAATTCTAGGTCATGAAAGTCAAGAAATATAAACCAGTGATTTACCAAATGCTTGACAGTCTGTGAATTCAATTCCCGATATAGTCTGCTAGCTTTGACAGCAGCAGTTGCAACATTCTTCATGTCAGCTGCTCGCACTCTTTGGGAATCGTAAACAGCTTCCTCGGTCTCAAACTTAGTTAACTTGACTAGAGCCAGGCCCAATTGCCCAACTGTTTCTCCAATGTCTTGCTGAGCTTTCACAAGCTCTTCAGCCTAAAATAACCAAAAAAAATTAACAATTTTCTAAAATCAAGCAACTCCATTACCTGTCAGAATTTTCCAATAGAAATTGCAACAAGAAAAATTGAATACTTATGTGCTGTAAACTAGAAACAAGAATATGGTATTGTTCAATAAAGAAAGGAGTCTAGGCAAGTCAAGTGCATCGAACCCATCCCCACATTCTCTAAGCAAACCTCAGCTTCAACTGAGTTTTAGCAATATTACTGATCTTAATACCCTGAAAGCTAATAATGATTGGAAATGGTATATTTCAGTGCAAACTACATGTAATTGTAAGTACTAAAAGGTAATGAAGAATCGCAGTAATATGTGAGCCAGTATCAAGTCAAAATTTCCCAGGATCATTTTCTAGATATTAGGATACACGTTCACAACTTGTTAGTAAAGGACGCACCACTAAAGAAAGCAATACGACATATAAAGAGACACAAGCACAATAATTGCAAACTATAAATTCGATTAAATCAAGGAATGCCACAAAATAGTAGGCAAGAAATCGAACCTGCTGAGAGACATTGCTGAGCTGCTGTTCCAATTCCTGCAACTTATCTTTCCTCTCCATAAATTCCTTGTCCTCCTCTACCAAAGCTGGCTTCGTTGCACCCCAATCATTAGTAACGCTTTGCTTCAACTCCTTAAAAAGCCTCAGCAAATCCTTCCCACCTTTTGCAGGCTGGGCCACCTCATTCACATCCACCACTCCCGCAACAACCTCCCCGCCAAACAACTGCCTGGGCAGCTTCACCGCCCCATCCAACATCCTCGACGCAACATCCGTAGGTTTCATCAGCGGCAGCTTTCCTTGCGACTCCAGAAACAACCTCAACTCTTCACTCCTCCGAATGGCCGTATGCTTGGCCAACCTCCTCAAATACTTTTCCAATGCCGCTCTCCTCTGCTCCACAAAATCCTGCGTCTGCATCACCTGACTCTCCACCACGCTCTTATCCGGCCTAATCGGAATAATAAACCCTCGGTAAGCCTCTGACAACCGGTCGGAGAGCGTAACCACATCTCGGAACCTCCTCCGGACGCTAAATTCAGTACCGTTGAACTCCGGTATGTTGGTGCGCGTGATAATTAAGTAAGTAAAATAAGAGGTACCGCCGGGGACAAGTGAAGTGGCGATGTCCTGCTCCTTCTGAGGATCGGAGACGGATATTTTAAGAAAATCTGAGGAGGAATATGAGGGAGAGGAGGCGGAGGGGGAGGAGGTGGAGAGGTCATGGCCGTTGATCTCGGAGGAGGCGTCGAAGGATCGGAAGACGGCGTCGGCGTAAGACGGAGGTTCGAGAATGAAGGAGTGAGGGTCAGGGTTTTGAGTTTGACTCTGAGGGTGCAGGAGGGGGGATGGAGAAGAGCGCAGTGGATCAGTGTCAGAGTCGTGGTTGGTGGGGATTTGGGCCAAGGGAGGAGATGAGGAGAGCGGATGGGGTGGGACGGCGGCGTCGTCGTTGAGGACCAAGGACTCCATTTCTTCTTTGGATGCGTAGAGACGGGCCTGTTCCGAGCCCTGGTGGCTCTCATAGCCCATCATTTTTTTGCAAATAATATCGATTTACGGATCCTAAATTAATATACGAAAACACTAAACACTAAAAAATGTAGGGAGGGTAGTGAAGGTGGTGATTTTAGGGACAGGTAAGATGAGAAAACGGCGGAAGGTGGAGGAGAATCAGGTGTTGAGGGGGAGGGAGGTGGTTGTCGGTCGCCGTTTCGGAGATTCCACGGCAAGTCTAGCGAGAGAGAGAGGATGGATATGATGGGTCGCCACGTGATTGCCACGTGTGCGGTTTATCATTTGTACTCACGAGATAAGACTTTTTTCTTTTTCTTGATAATCACGAGACGAGATAGACTTCTTCTTCGTTTTTTTGGAACTTGCACGGTTTGCTTTTTCTGCAGCTCTTAAAAAAGTCCAGAATCCATCAAACCCCCTGACGATGCTCGGAGGAAGAACAGAAGGTGAAATTAAGCGAACTAACAAAATCCAAGTTTGTTTGGACGAGGATTATTTGTCAAAATTTATTTGTCAAAATTTATTTGCTTACATCATTATTATAATTTTTAATATATATTTTTTATTTTTTTAATTATTTTTTTATTTCACATATATCACATCACGAAAAATACTACAGTAAAAATATCTCAAACAATTTACAATTCAAACAGAACTGGGTAATTTTGTACAATTAGAAAGTTAATCATGGTGAGGATCTATAAATATCCCCGTCCAAAATTCATTCACTATTGGAACAAACGCCCAGTTCCTGTATTTTTTGTTTCTTCTTCTTCATTGAGGGAAAACAATTAAAGGAGGAGGACAACTTAGTAGACTATATATGCCTACTTGCCCTATGTCAATCAAATAGATGGGCTAAATGCATGAGGAAGGTTTTAGATACTATTTGCTTCGGGCGTGCTTTAAATAATAATTTAACATAAAAAAAAAAAAAAAAAGTCGAACGGATCTATGGAGTCTCTTAGGCCCAAAATTACGCAAGTTGTTCTAGTAATTCTGAACGTGACATATATACGCGAAAGTGCTCCCGGTATTTTAATAGCCCAATGGACCGGTGATGGTTTTGGGTCTAATACATTCAACCCCATACGGAAAGGTCTTAGCCTCTTAGTCGGTTACAAGGTTCTGGGATCCAATACCGGAGCAGTAATCGGGGAAGATATGTGATTGGGGAACCCATTAGTCGCTAATAATCCGTATGTAAACTGGTCAAATGCTCTGATAAGGGACCACCAAGCAGAGTACAAGCTATCAAGATGGAGATGGTGATGGATTTAATGGGTAAAGATGGATGTGAGCGAGCGGCCCATCTGCTAAGAATGTCGTTTGTTAGCTCGGTGATCATGGACTTAGCCATTGGGAATCCGTTCTTCAACTTTCATTACCACTGCTTCAGCAACGTGTACTGGCAGCTCATTTATTGTTTGTTATTACTCCGCCAATGATTGATTAGGTGGCGACAACAAAACGCAATTTAGTTAATTAAATGCTTCACCTATAAACGAAACGATGGGTTATGTGTTCGAGTTATTAAACTGATATAAACTCAAGAATCAAATAGCTTGATCCCTGGCTTAGCCATAACACATACCTAGTGATTCATTAGGTAATGTCAATTGTCATGTGTTCTAGTTTTAATTTTAAAAACACATATAAAATTTGTATGATGCACCTCTACAACTCTGAGGCAATTTTTCAAGTGTCTTGCTGGTATCATGTTTATCCTTATTATTTTCTATTCTTTATCAAACGTTTACACTTTGTGATAATTAACCATACATAGAAAAATTATAACTGCACAAGCACGTCTTACTATTTCATCTCGCTGATCCTAACCTTGCAAGAGATCTTAAAAAGGTTTTTCTAACGCACATGTATTCCACCCAATTTATCGCGCATATACACACTATAACAGCTACTACTTTCTCTTACATTTATACACTTTTTCTAATTAATTCCCTTGCATTTATATGATTTTTCCTGATTAATCTTATATTTCGAAAAAATCTGACACGTGGAATGCATCTTGACGGGTACGCTAGACAGGCCGCCCTTAAACTTATTAAAATTATGGACTGAGATGTCGGAGAAATACTTGCACAAATGGTTGTAATAATCACGCTTTTCTCGTTACAACAACACAGTAATGAATTGATACGGGACTAACTTAAGTACCTAAACTTCACACCCACCGATAACTAACCACTTGAGAAATTGAGACAATAAGGCATAACTTGGCATAAAATGGAGGAGGAAGATGACAGGTTTGACGGGGCAACTATAGATTAGCTCTTCAATCAATTTTTCGTTTTCCACTATGATGCACCTTTTTTAAAGTCAAAGTTGATTTGATTCAAGCAAAGTCGGCTAATGTTTGCGTCCACTAGGCTAATTAAATAATGCTTCAGTTCAAGTACTGCTCCGGAAAGCAATTTGCTTGAATTCAAAGAGACTAGCGGTTGTTATTTCTCTTAAACATCCGCCCCTCCTTTTCAGTCTCGTGCCCTTAAAATTAACAAAAAAAAAATAATCACAAATCAACGATGCCAAAGACAAATCGTTTCGTCAAAGTTTCTAATGCTGATGATGGCTCACGTTTCCGGGAAGAAGGCCAGTGGAAATTTCAGTCATTAGATGTGATGATAGCCAAATGTGTGTATTCATGATGAAACATAGTAGCGTAGGTTGATAGTCTTGGAAATTAAGGCAGAGTATAATGTAAAAAGTTACTCCTAATGTTTATCTGTTGAGTAAACAAGTCGAATTAATTTAACTTTCAGGAAAAGTCCATCAGAAAGCGTATTGTTGAGCCGTCATGGACGGCCTACCTAAATTGGACACAATGAATAGGATACTAACTCCTCATTGGGGGTTTCTCTAACGGAATTTTGTTAGAGTCCATCAGATCCCCGGCTGATCAGTTTTATTAATGGTAATTGGGACCTAATGAATGCGACTTTTTCCATCCGCTTGATGATGTGACTTGGTCAATATCTGCTGTGTCTTTGTCCGGGTTCGACCACAAAATTTGATCCCCTTTTATCACATGCCACACAAGATTAGATTAGGATAGGATAGGTTATACAATATGATCGTTATTGATAAAAAAAAAAATTTATCACATGCCACACAAGTGTCTAATTCATCTGGTTAAACATGTCTTCAAAAGGAATCAGATGGAAACTTTTTAAGCCCGAATAACATGTTTAGCTTAAAAAAAAATATATATATATATATATATATATATATATATATATTGCTTAAATGAGGGTATGTTTGCAATCAGTCCCGTTTGTATTGTTGTTTTTTTAATTTTTTTTTGTAAAAAAAATGTATTATAATAATTTGATATATGTAAAGTAAAAATATATTTACGAAAAATATAATTTTTTTTTAAAAGGCTGCAATCCAAACAAGGTTTTGTAATCATTTGAACACTTCATCTCCTATCCAGTTACGTTGCCAACATAAGCTGACTCATTTGATAAGAACAGATTAGCTTTTTTTCACAACAGTTCGTGTGTTCAAATTGAGGGATGTGTTACAGAGAAATCTATAAGAACCCTTTTTAGCGACTGATAGTCTCGTGGTGGTGACCTATGATCTCGGACAATGTATCCTGACTCGTGATAGTAGTAGTAATGAAACCTACCATTTTTTTTTTAACCAAAATATATATATTTTTTTTAAAAAAAAAAAGGAGTCAGATAACCGGACAGGAGATGATGTATTCAAATTATTACATCTTACACAAACCTTACACTTTTGTAATTGCAAACATATATTGGAACAAAATTCAAACGCCAGCCAGGTTACATTATTTATTCAGTTGATGCGCTAAGCCATATTATTAGAACATTGGACGGGAGAAATATAAGCCAAAGAATACTCGACCATTATGAAGTACAAATAGTTATAGTAAAATTGTTAAGACAATTCTCGAAATTTCCTTCCGCACAAGCTGAAAAAATGGTACAGGTAGATGTATTAGAGTTAATAATTTTTGTACTGGTTGCTGTCCTTGCATAAACGAATTGGCAACATATTTATAGGCAGCTGCTTATAATGCCCTCGATATGTAACTAATTTACTATTTTTCCCCCACTCTAATGCTCGTAATAATTGGCACAAAGCCTGACTCCATTTTGTCACCTTATAAATTCTTTGAATTTAACTCACTCAGGATGGTTGGTTTCTCATCACTCCCAACCATTTTATCAACGTTATAACATTGAACACCTTGCATCATGAAAAAAAAAAAGAGACTAAAATTAAGAGATTATCCGAGAGGTGGATAAATATTTGATTTTCTTCCTGCCTACCTCGAAATATATGTTAGAAGTAAGCAGCAGCAGCAGCAGCTAACGGCCACTGGGTCATATGCAGATATACGCGTCTTTAAGATGCGTAAGAAAGTAATCACTGAGTTGACGCAATGATTAGGAGACGGTAACAGAGTTTTTTCTGCCGTGAAGTTATAATTCAAATTACTTAGAAATAGGAACCCTCCTTGCTGTCAAAAAATTAAATAAGTAAAAAAAAAATGCCTTGTATATGTAAGCAAACACAATACGCGGAGATATGAACAAAAACTCCTTTTTTCTAGAAGTAGACGAGGATACTGTTCTAAACCTTGTCGGTTTTTTTTTGTTTTGTTGCTAAGATTTTGAGAAATTGGACCTGGTGAGAATGAGAAGACTTGTGAAGAAAGAATTAATGAAATCCTTCAGTTTGATAGGTCAGTGGGTGCAACAACTCTACAGGGTTGAACTAAGTTTTGCTCAGGAATTTGACCTTAAACAACCTAATCTGCCAAACTTAAAACAACCCTTTCTCTCTTGTTCTGCCCCTATAAAATCAATCGTCTCTCCACCTCTTTCACAAGCAAACACTACCACTCTTTCCATTGTGGAAGAACCAAAAGAGCTACGCTAGCAGAATTAAGCACGTACGTAAAGATATCGGAAGCGTTCAATAGCATGGAGAAGAAGTCCAGCATTTTCTTGCTCTTCGGCCTCTTGCTTCTCTTTGCAAATGCAGTATCTCTGGGAAATGCTGTAGTTCACTCTCACCAATTTGTTGTGCGTGATCAGAAGCCTCAATTTCGGCCCTCTTTCTTTTTATCCCTTGCAATAATTTTCATGCACGTACTAAATTCATTTTTTTTCTGAAACAGATCCAAGCAACACCAGTGAAGAGGCTGTGCAATACTCACAGCACTATTACTGTTAATGGTCAATACCCCGGACCAACCTTAGAAGTGAATAACGGAGATTCTTTGGAAATCGAAGTTATCAACAAAGCTCAA